TGTGTGTGTGTGTGTGTGTGTGTGTGTGTGTGTGTGTGTGTGTGTATGCAGGAAACAGAGGGAAATTGAGCAAGTATGTGTATGCTGAGATGGGGAACATCTTCAGAAGAAGTAAACAACTGATGTGTTCCTGTGGTGGCATAGCATATAATCACAGTGATTCAGGAGGCTAAGGTAGAAAAATCTCAAGTTTTAAGAGGCTCTAAGCAACTTAGAGAAATCCTGTCTTCAGATTAAAAATAAAAAGAGCTGGGAATGTACCTCAGTGGTAAAGCACTCCTGGGCTCAGTCTCCAGAACTGACATGTTCTCTGATATCCTTGAGTACTAGTAAATATTATTGTTAGATCTACATAGATTTTTTGAAACATTAAACATTTGCCAAGGTACATGGAAAATTAGCCAAAGAATAGCCCAGAATGGTGTCACTTGCCAGTGACTCAGGAGGCTAAGGCAGGAGGATCACAAATTCAGGACCAACCTCAGGAACTTAGCAAGGACCTAAGCAACTTAGTGAGACCCTGTCTCAAAATGAATAATAATAATAAATTTTTAAAAAGGCTGAGGATATGGCTCAGTGGTTAAGCACCCCTAGGTTCAATCCCCAGTACCCACCCCATACTCCCAAAACAAGGAAGAAGAAGGAGAATAAGAAGAAAAAAAGTGTATTATTAATTCTAGGAAACCAAACTCTGCCCAACAAATGTCAAATGTAACATAATCAAAATACGTTGCTTGATTCACCAATAAATGGCATTTACTAAGTGAGATTAAAGTAAACATCGAGTTTTAATTTAATCCAAAATGGAGATACAAACATAAAGATATGGTGAGGAAAAATTGTGAAGTGGTTGTAAAACAGCTAAATCTTCACCTATATAACAGAAAATAAATATATACAGTCTAAATCTATGAAATATTCATTTGAGCATATTATTTAGTGATAAGGAATCAGATATTCTAAGAAATTATTAAACCAGCATGAAGTGGCTACTCCTAGGGAAACAGGCTGAATAATGAAAGTGAGACATAAAATTCTTCATATTCATTTTTCTTTTTAACTATGTATTCTGTACAAAAAAATAATAATATAAAGATATGGAAATTGAGCCTGAAGGCTATTTATAATTTTTAATTTCATGTTTCAGTTAATTATTCTGCATTGTTAGCTATAATAAAATACTGTCTTCTGTCTAATGATAAAACGTAGTTCATTGAAATAAATAATAAGCTTAATTTCAATCTAATTTCTTTCTCCTTTTTTTAAAATTTTCAGGGTGATTCTGGGGGACCATTAGTTATAAAAGATCTTAAAGATACCTGGTATCTCATTGGAATTGTAAGCTGGGGAGATAACTGTGGTCAAAAGAACAAACCTGGAGTCTACACACAAGTAACTTATTACCGACGCTGGATTGCTTCAAAAACAGGCCTCTAACTCACCATAAAAGTTAAACAAAGAGCATTGTATACAGGTCATACATGTATGAGAATGTGGATATTCAGTGAGCTTTGTACAATGAAGTGATATTCAATGTTTGGATCTGGCAACATGAGATATAGAACATGATTTATTTTACAATCATTTTAGTTATTCAGTAATCTATTGCCAATTTATAAGGGATATTTATTTGTAAAGTAATGGGCCATTTTACCTGGCTTGAAAATTAGAGCAGAGATATTCAGCTCTTTAAAATTAATAAGTTGAAGTATACGTGAGCTGCAATACAAACTTTTTTTAAGATCCCTTGTGATATAGTATGTTTTTGTCAGGATTTTCCCCTTAAATGAGAAGCTTTCTGAACTTTCAAGGAGTTCAAGGAATGTTTACATAATTTCCTGTCTCCTTTCCAGAGCTCATAAGCTTCACAAGTACTTTTTTTTTTTAACTGCCATGTTCTCCCAGGTTTTCTGCCATGAGAAATAAATTTGCTATTCTAAATGCATTTAGGGGACTTTCCTAAAGGAAATTATATTTCACAAAGTCTGGTGGCAAATTAAGACAATAATCTTCTAACTCATAGTTGTGAAAACTTTTCTTTTTTGTAATTTTTAACACGCACATTCATACTCATACACACACATATTCTCATACTACAGATATACTAAAAAATCCAATTAATGTTTGATATATGTAGTAATTATCTAATCAAAAATGTATTTTGTTTTGAAAATTTGGTGAAGGGTGATAGTAGCTTTATGAGCAGTCTCAGGCCATTTTAAAATGACATTTTAAAGATGCACTTACATGTTTTGATCACCAGGGGGAGATTTTGTCCTTTATTATTGTAAGGTAAAAGGCCTGAAAGTAATTTGAGAATACTAATACCTAAAAGAATCAAAGAAAATTGTCTTTCTCCATAAGAAAGAAAAATTTTTTCCCTTGTATTTCTACAACCAATGAGTTTCAAAAGTTCTTGACCTGAGTATTGCCATTTGGAATTCTAGTTTTTAAAACAAGTTAAAAAAAAAAAAAGATTTTGAGAACATACCAATAAAATTCACAAAGTTTTCTGAAAAAGAAAATACACTCCCTAATTAAAGTGTCTCATGAATTGAATAAGAAAGTTAGTCTTCTATATTTCATAACAGAATTAGTCAAAGATTTTATGGAAATATTACTAAGCTTGGCAGTACCCATGAATTATCAGGGTTTGCAGGCTAGGGAGACATTTATTTACTCATATAGTCCAAGTATAAATTATTCTGTATTATAGTGGTAAGATATAATTCTGAATTTTAATGTTAAGATTCAGGAAATGATCTTATTTCTGAACTATTGTGTAACATTTCATTTGGGGTCACATGTAAGCAAATATTGATATATCATTTTAAATTTAATAAAGCTGATGATCAGAGCATCCTACAAACAGTTTCACTAGGTCTGTGTTAGACTAGTAGCATGAATCTTTCAACTGTTGTTAAGAATCATTTATTTTGAATAACTAGTTTGGGTCTCTCTAAAGCAAGGTTTCCTAACCTTGGTGCTGCTGAAATCTGGGCCTGGAAAATTCTTTATTTTATGGGGCTTCCCTGTTTATTGTAGACTATTTAGCAGCATTCTACCAGATGCCTGTAGCATATCACTTACAATAAATTATAATAACCAAAAATAACTCTAGACGTTGGCAAAAATGGGATAAAATTATGCTCTCTTGAGAACTGCTGTTTTAAAGACAGTTGATTTTTATAGAATTGTAAGAGACAACTCAAAGTGATGAGACTGATTATTCAAAAACTATAATATACCTATCAAGCTAAACATTCACTATAGTGTTCCTAAAGGAAATAGAAGAATAAATGATTAGTACTTTAGTCAGTATCTACTTCAAATACAAACTGATCTCCCAGGATACACAATGTGCTCAGAGAATTTCCCTCTGCCTACCATGAACAAGGACTTGGGTTTGATCCCAAGCACTACAAAAATATAAAAAACTTCTCTCATGCCTAAACTACAGTCACAAAGCATTGTGTGGGCTCTCTCTCATCCAGCAAGGAGGTCCATGGAACAGGGAAGAGGAGAGTGTGGCTGCGGAGTCACAAATCAAGACCTCCAGAGATTTTATAGGTCTGATTTTATTGCGTAGTTACCATGTATATATACAGGCAGTAGCTAAACAGATTATAGGCAGCCGCCAATAGAATTTCTGCCTACTGTTCTTGCAGCAACCAATCAAGGAATGGACCATGGACTAAGTGTGACCTCACATCTAGAGTTGTGCCTATGGGATAAGCAGTTTGCTGCTGATGCGCCTAGAGAGAGGGGAGTGGTTTACCACTCAGGCGCCCTTAACATAGGCCACATATGCAGTACTCCATGTACTTGTACCCACAGAGTACTATTAAAAATTACCATACAGATGGAGTTTTATAAAGAATAATTCATAGTAAGAAATACTGCATATTTTTTCATCATAGTTCCATACACATATTATAGAAACTGTGAAAGAAGGTTCATAAAACATTAATCACCCTTACTAGATGCAATTAAATCTAACATTTGTATTGTATTCTATTATACATTTTTAAAAATACAGCACACCACCATCCCAGGTGAAGGGAAGATGGGAGCTGCAATCATGGTGGTTCAAGCAGAGTGGATAAAAAATACACCACCAACTAAATTGAGTTTACAAGCTACTGCATCATTATCTGAAATGCCTAAAGACATTGTGTTATAATCATTAACCATTATTAACATTCAATTGTTATTATGTCACCACACCATCATTCCTACCTCAAACCTCTCAATGTATTCACTTGGCAAATTGCTAACAGGTTATAATGCTATTCAATAATTTTATTTCCATAATCTCCATTTTCCCCATTGCTTGAAAAATAGAACCTATATCCCTGCCCCCATATCATTTAAGGTCCTTTAAAATCTGCCAGTAACCAACAGCATTTTTTCTTATGTTTGTATACTGCTTGATAACATGCCTGTTACATTTCATTTTCTAAACACACCCTTCTCTTTGATCACATGTTCTCTTCATCTACAAAATCAAGCTCAAGTATCATCTCTGTCAGGAATGCTTTTCTTATAATCCCAGGCAAAACTCTTCATTCAAACTTCTTTGAGCATTTTTGTTTCTCCTTTAAAGCATTTCTAATACTTTACACTATAGCATAGTTTTTACATACATGTATTATCTCTTAAAATATTTTTAAGTTCCATAAGATTTAAGACTGGTTTATTTTTGTATTCCCTACAGTATTTAAAACAAAAATCAGGATTATTAATTATTAATTATTAATTATTTTAGGTTAATGTTTAGTGAAAGAATAAATTAACACAGAATTATGTGTATGAAATTGAGAAACCTATTCCCAGTTGTTAAGACCTCGAACCTTATCATTGAACTGGGCTCTTAACCTATATAGTCCTATTTATATTTTCTTCAACAATCCTAAAGACCATCTTCTCTTTGCCTATATAAGAAGTATCCAAAATACAGGCAGGCCCTAATGCATGACAATCCCTTCCCAGGAACCTTTCTAAGTCAAAATCTCTCCCCATATATCTTTAAATGATCACATCTCAAACCCATAGGTATATTTGGAAATAAGGCCAAAAAGTAAACCTTGGCTAAAAAGCAAGTCCCATTTCTTTTTTTCACTTTTATTTGATCTATCAGTGTGGTCCTTTGTTCTTTCTTCACCTAAGGACCTCACAAATCTTGGCACTTTCAATGGCCATACTAGATGTCCATGATTATAGTCCCCTGATGGAGGCCATTCCTTACTGAATTTGCCTAATGGAAGATATTAAAGATAAAATTAGGAATCATACTTAATATCTCCTTTTTGAGGTAGGTACACTCATACATTGCTAGTGGCACTGCAAATTGGTGTGACCACAATAGAAAGCAGTATGGAAATAACCTCAGAAAACTTGGAACACCATTTGAGCCAGCTATCCCACTCCTCAGTTGATAACCATAGGACTTAAAATCTGCATACTACAGTTACACAGCCACATCAATGTTTATAACAGCTCAATTCACAATAGCTAAACTATGAAGACTACCTAGATGCCCTTCAATAGATGAATGGATAAAGAAAATGTGATACATACACACAGTGGAATACTACTGAGCCTTACAGAAGAATGAAATTATGGTATTTGCAGGTAAATGGATGAAATAGAGAAAACCATCATAAGTGAAATAAGCCGTAGAGAATCTCATGGTAAAGTGAAATAAGCCAATCCCAAGAAAAAAAAGGTCAAGCGTTTTCTCTGGTAAGCAGATACTAATCCATAGTGGGGTAGTGGGGCAGGTAGGAGAGGATGAAGGAACTTCGAATACTGTAGAGGGGAGTGAGAGGAGAGGTGAGCTGTGGGGATGGGAAGGACAGTAGAATGAAACAGACATTATAACCTTATATACTTATATATTTACACTACTGGTGTGACTCTATACCATGTTCAGCCAGAGGAATGAGAAGTTGTGCTCCATTAGTGTACAATCTGCCAAAATACATTCCACCGCTATGTTTAACTAATTAGAACAAATTAAAAAAATAGAAGGGAGACCAGTAGAATAGAAGAAGGAGAACAGGGGGAGGAATGGCAGGGAAAGGGAAGGTACTAGGGAATGAACTGATTAAATTATACTGTTTTATTGTATGCATGTATGAATATATTGTAACAAATAAAAAATAGCTAATTCAATGTAAAAAAAATCTCCTTTTTGAAAACTCACAGAAATAGGAAAACTGTTTATAATAGATGGCATTTGGTTCTTAGAGTTTAGATATCCATATAAGACTGTCCTTTTATTTCTATTAGTAAACAAGATTTAATTGGTAATTTAACTTTTTTAAACCTTTTTTCTTAAGCTCTGGAGGATCCTCCCACAGAAGAAGTCACTACATTAAATAAAGCGTCAAATTTTAAATGTTATTCTATAATCCACAAATATAGTAATGGAAATCTTCTGGGGCTCATGGGCTAATAAAGGACTGACAAACTGAGTGACAGTGTTAACATTCTCCAAGTAAGTAGATTGCCTAGAGCCTTTATCTTACATTTTAGACACAGTAATTAAAAATTCACTTATACATGAACCATAGGAATTGAGCTAAAGTTAGAATTCCTGAAGTCACGTTTTGGAAAGAAGCCAAATCAAAGCCATCTTCTAGATGTTTAATCTGAAGATTTTAACTGGTGAAAAGGAGAATCTAGACACAAATCTACTTAGAAATAAGAAAAATCTGGAAGAGAACAGTTTCAAACAAAATTATGGAAATTCAGACCAAAGAATGTTAAATCAGGCAGATTTTAGTAGATAACTATATCATTGGTAAAAATAAGGACAAACAAGTTGAAGGTAATATCACCAGTTTATTCATTAAAAAACAAAATGTGTCTGCTACATTCCTATGGTGGGAGGTAAGTTACTAAAATAACATCTCCCCTCCAACCTATATACTTCTAACTAGATAAAAATAGTTGTGATCTGAGAACTTCATACATGTGTTTTCTGTGTCTGGTTAACATTGTTGGAATGTGCAGGTTTAAGAAAGAGTAGAGTCTTTGTGAACTATGCTTAGGTGAGAGCTGTAGAAGAAAGGACTGATGTTGATGGAGGGGAAAATTAAAGGAGCAAATTAGAACAGAAATATGAACACCTCAAAGAGACCCATCTATAAGAGCTCTAGACCCTGGCACTGACCAAAGACAGTCTGATGGTATATTCTACACAATGGTCTTACCTAAGATTATGTGCTACTGAAATACCATTTGCACCTGATTTTGGTATACATGAAAGGCCTGTAGATTTCCCAAGTGCTAAAAAGCTACCAGGAGAAAGCAAAATGGTACAGTCACTTTGGAAGAAAGTTTGTCAGCTTTATACAAAACAAAATCATCTGTTTCCATAGAATTCAGCAACCACTCTCCTTAGCATTCATCAAATGAACTGAAATTTTATGTCCACATAAAAATACTGATAGCAAATATAATCGCCAAAACAGTAGCAACTGAGATGTCCTCAGTAGGTTAATGGATTGATGAATTTGGCAATACAAACAAAGG